GGGGGGAGGGGAAGGGGCTGGGACAGCAGGAGGGGGTCAGGAGGCACTCAGTTGGGTTTCTCCAGTCCCCTCCCCGCACTTACCAGCACAGAGTCTATGTCCAGCTCCCTGTGGCAGCAAGCAGGGACTGTCCAAATCTCCAAAGCTCTCCGATTCTTTTTTTAATCGATTCAGAGAGCTTCAAATTGATTCAGACCATTTAATTGGTCTCCTGATTTGATTTGGATTTGGAGATTTGGCCACCAAATTGGGCTCAATCTCCTCCAAATTGAATCAGCACCCGAAGCTTTGCGCAGCCCTAGAATATATGTGTAAAATAAAAACAGAGTTAGGATATGAAGTGCCAACATAATGAAGTTCCTCAGTTTCACTTATGTTTTACACCTGTGCTTGGCTATTTAACTATATTATTTTTAGTCCATGTCCAACTTTAGTTGGATACAAATATTTTCATAACACAGCAGTAGAAGCTTTACTTGAGGAACTGCAAGAGGTCCAGAACTGAAAGATTTAAAGTAAACTGAATTTCACATTTCTTTTTCTGTTTTTTCCCCTGAAGGTGGACGATGTCACAAATCCTGTACAGGCCGATGCTGGGGACCCACAGAGAATCACTGCCAGACCTGTAAGTATATGAGGATAGGAAAGATAGGAGTGGGAAGTTTGGAAGAGCATTTCCAGAGTGTTCATTTGAGAGAGACACTGTCAAGGTTTTAATAGAATTTTTAAATAGTTCAAATATTGTCCCCTATATAGAGTCCAATAAATTGCCTGTTTCTTCTCAGTGCATTTGTTCTTCTCCATTCAGCATTTTTTTCCTGTGCTTCCGATGAACTTAAGAGAATTTACTTGGTTATCTTCACTTGATGTTAACATGGAACATTGCTTTGGGGAATTGTGCTTGCTACTTTGAAATATATTGGAGTGAGCATAACAACAAGAATACCAGACTCTGGGCCAGATCCTGAAATAGTGGCAGGTGACCTAGTCAGATGCTGAATGCCCTAAAATCCCCTTACATTCAGCAGCAGCTGGAGGCTAAATATCACCTTGCAGAAAGTCATTCTTGATAATGATTTTAAAATACAGTCCATTGTATTTTGGCAGCAGTGGCAATCCCTCAATACAAGGAAGATAGTCTTTCAGGAAATAGGGAAATTATCAGTGATTTCAGAATGGAGTCAGTTGTGTTTAGGTTCTATCTAAATGGATGATCATAGATATTGCTTTTTAAAAAAGGCACACATTATCTTGATTTTTGAAGAACATCATAATAGCAAATGTGTTCATAAAAAATAATCGTCCAGAAAGAGAGTCTCCTCCCATCATGTTTCTAAACTGATTATACAGACATCTTGGAGCCATAAACCCAAACATTAGCAAAATGTGAAAGAAAGAAAACTAAGAACTTATAAACAAAATCATAATCTATCATTTTTTTCTAAAAGGAATATGTTTGGAGATGAGGAGCAAATATAAGATTTTCCTTTTTTAAAGGCAGCATCTTGAAAATTGTGCTTACTAGATTCAATCTTCTTAAGAAGTCAAAGAGCTTGTAATATTTTCACAAGTCAGACAGTTTTCTAGATCATTGATAGTAGGGGTGCATTTTTCACATTGTTCCTCCCAGCTGATTCTTCTCCTGTCTGAGGCACATATGCTGTTGGTAAAGATTGCCATATAGGTTACTTACTTCTAGTTGAGAAATGACTCTAGTAAAAAGCTCAGTGGTTCATTAAATCATTCTACCCTATTGACCACAAATACCAAAGAAAAACCTTTTGCTTCAAATAGAATTTGACCTGTTCCATGATTAAAAGTGTTCTTGGCTCGATTGTAGCATCATTGAATAATGCATCACGTACAGTGGTATTAAGAGAAGAATTATTCTTCTTTCTGCCCAGTGGATCATGACAGAACTCCTCTTTCATTTCCTCATACCCTTATGATTATCAGAAAATAAGTTAATGCTGAAAAATATTCTTTAAATCAGTTTCCTGC